CTTTACTAAATATATCTGCATCTATGTAACAGATAAGGTAGTATCAGACTCTGAGTGAAAAGAGAAACTGATTTTGCAAAGGGTGTTAACCCTATTGTTCTGTAGCCATTCAATCCCAAATCTAACCATGTTGGAATCAAACATGGAAGTTCACACTCTAGACTGGACGCCATCATACTTTGTTCAGGTCACAAAAAATGACTCCTTTGTTTCTCGACTGAAATTATTTAATATTTCAACTTACATCCGCAAGACTGGCTCCCAAATCCAACCCTGCTACTCATTTACTCGGAATAAAGCACGTTGGAAATATTCAGCCAGCTGAGTACATTGACTGGAAACATGAACTTTGTTTCTCTCCCCACGGAAACGGCCAGATTTGCTGAGGATTGGCAACACTTAATTTCAGCTTCCCGGCGTCCGCCAGTGTTTCGCTGTTCTTTTAAGTTCATCCCCTCTTTCCCTCACCCCCACAACACCCCACCCCCGTGTTGCTGCCTCAGAACATATAAATCCCACATGTCAAACAGCCTGCAGCCACAGCCGGTGTGGAGAGGCTGCCGAGTGACCGCTGCCCACCTCATCCTCTAGAACTACCCCGTCCTCGTGTGGCCCCACCGCGTGTTTCCAAACCGGGATTTGCCGCACTAGGGTTAGAAGCCAAATCCAATTTTTTTTTTCCCCACAAGCCGCCACCTCTCCACACCCCCACCCACCACCCGGCCCCGCATCTTCCCAGGGTGGTGCTGATACTGGTGGGATGGATAAGGTTAAAGTGACCGGGGCCGGGCCGGTACATGCTGGCCACCTCCTCCTCCACCATCACCACCACATGGATTGCCCTACCCCGCTCTCCGTCTCCATCCTCGGGAAACGGAGGCAGGCCTGGACGATAACCCAATGGCGCAGTGCCCGGTGTGTGTGTACGTGCAGGACGTGAAATCCTGGGCTGCTGTGGGCGAATGACCGTGGCCGGCCTCCCCGGGGGTTGTGTTTGTGGGGGGCTGGTTATAAGGCCTCCCCTACGCCCGGGGGCCTCTCCTTACCTTGACAGTGCTCAAGGATAAAGAGAAAGTTTCGTGGTAGTTGTGCTTAGTCCAGTCGTAGGAATCCTTTAGCTCGGGACGAGCGCTGCGCTTAGCTTCTTTTATTCTCTTCTTAGCTTTGTGATTCATTTCTTAAAATTGAGCGACGCCAGGCTTTCGCCCCCCCCCCGCCGTTACCGTCGCGAGCCGCCGGAGGAGGGAAACCCTTCCAGAATCTTCAGCCTCTTCCCCCGCACCGGCTCTGTCAATCAAATCACGGCCAGGAAGTCCCGCCCAGTACGCCGCCGGAGCCTTCACCGATTGGTCGCAGTTAACCCCGCCCCCCTGCGGAGGAGCGTACACCCGGTTGGTTCTGACAGCAGCCACTCGTATGACATCCCTGGGACACGCCCTCTTCCCGGCGGCGAGGTGACGCCATGAGCGGCCTGTGGCCTCCCGGTTCCAAGTGCTTCGTTTTCGTGGAGGAAGGGCCGCCCGGGGCCGGGGATGTCGAGCGGCTGGAGGTCGCTGTGCCCGAGGTGGCTGATAGTCTTCGTCATCTTGTTGCTTGGGGCGGGGGATGGCATGGAAATTAAACCTCTGTGGGGTTGCTGCGATAAGAGAAAAGCAGAGCTGAAACAGAAAGTCGTTGGTGAAACTCGGCAGGTCTGGCAGCATCTGTGCAGAGAGAAAACAGAGTTTTTAATTCATTCATGGGTTGAGGGTATCGCTGGCTAGGCAGCATTTATTGCCCATCCCTAATCAGCCAGAAGCAGTTCTAAGTCAACCACATTGCTGTGGGTCTGGAGTCACATATAGACCAGACCAGGTAAGGATGGCAGTTTCCGTCCCTAAAGGACATTAGTGAACCAGATGGGTTCTTTCTGGCAATCGACAATGGATTCACGGTCATCATGAGACTCTTAATTCCAGATATTTTATTGAATTTAAATTCCACCATCTGTCATGGCAGGATTTGAACCTGGGTCCTCAAACGTTATCTGGGTCTCTGGATTAACAGTCTATTAGGCCATTGCATCCCTAAGCAAGGCATATGTTGATGTGGAGATGTTGGGCATAGTCCTCCAGTTCTGAAGAAGAGTCATACTGGACTGGAAACGTTACTTTCTTATTAAGTAAGGACTGAAGGGATATAGACCCAGGACAGGCAGAAGTGATTAGTCTGCTTTAGCATAATGGTCTGCACAATGTTGTGGGCCGAAGGGCCCGTTCCTGTGCTAAACAGTTCTGTTTTAATTTTCCACAGATGCTGTCAAATCTGCTGACTTTCTACGGCAACTTTCTGCTTTTGTTTCAGATTTCCAGCATCCACAGTTCTTTATGTTTATTTTGCAAGAGAGAAGTTCAGGACATGGTTGTCTTGGTTAATTTGACGACCACCTTCTTTGTCTCCCTCCAATTTGGGAAATTAAACCAATGGAAGATGAAAATCTAGTGCCCCCTTTTTCCAGTTGCCTTTCTCCCATGTGCCTCACACAAGCTATCATTTTCCCCGCCTTCACTGAGTTTTTTGAAACCTGGGAAATATCGCTGTCTGAGCAGGGGAAAGGGATGCAGTGGGTACAGAACCAGCCCAAGGAAAGGGGATGAACCTTTTCTGCATAAAGCTGGCGTTTTGATGGGGTTGTGCTGCGTCAGTGAAAGCATTTCCTCAGTATTGTCATCGGACCCAAACCTCTTGTTATTAACTTTGAAGATTTAAAGAAGGCTTTCAATAGCATTCGTTGGCAGTCTTGCACAACACCATCCTGGACTAGTTCAAAATGTTATACTATGATTACAGTTACTGCATTGTGACCACCATGGGAAGATTGTAAATTGTCCCTGTTCCTTTGCTTCTTGCTCACTGATTTTTATCATGAGGAAGGCAATATGGGGTGTTGACATTGGCGTGCTGTGGCAACACCACCAGTTTTACAGTTAATGTTGTTTTGCTGGCTGAAGAATCCTGTGTATTTTCAAAACATGAATGCCAGTCTGGGGAGTAGGTGGCACCAAGATTGATCTATTCATCAGCTTTGAGAAGACCAAGGCAATGATAACTAGATGGCAACAAGGTCCTGCCATTCACATCAGTAACACGTCCTTAAAGCCTTCATCCACTTTCCCAACCTGGGAAGCCATTGTGGCGGGGCGGGGGAGGTGGAGGGGGGAATTGTGATTCTACATTTGTAATAGTGCCAACCATAATCTAGTCCAGCAGGACATGGAAGAGAACAGCAAAGGTGCTGTGCAGGTTGGCTATCTTTCACCACTACAGTCTGCATGAGATCCTGGCTATCACATATTGAAACAGCATTAACAATAAACAAGTGCAACAGAGCTCTGGTTAAAGGCAGCTGCTGGATACTGTGATGCAGGAATGACTGAGAATGGTAGAGCAGGTATTTTGCCTCCTGTATGTATTCCCTGCTACTGTTAAAGTTCAGTTTTCACTGTCAGATTCGAAAAGTGATGAGATTGGTGAAGAAAGACCTGACAAAGTATATCTCAAAGTGACCTTCAAGAATGGGACACTGTTTGGGTTTGAGTGGCATATTGCAGTGCATCTGTGGCATAACTAAAGGAACTAAGTGTGTATTTTTTGTTTGCTGATTTTGTATCATCTACTACAATTAGAAGCAGATTTATTGAAGGACCCGTTTCCATTTTTGAATAATTGTACAGCATGTTATTCTTGTGTTGTTTTTTTCTGTTGTTGATTTGCGTGGAGTGCAACATCAAAACTGGTAACTGAGAACAATTTTTGACAAGTAGGATAAATAAAATAATATTTTAACTGCATATTTCAGAAAATTACTATCTGTAATGTTATAACATTACTGAACAAAATGTTTCCTCAACAGATCAATTCATAAGGTAACTTCCACATCATTTCCTATCAGCAAAACTGGTGAAGGAAACCAAATGCCTGGCCGTATTATCCCATTTTTATTTCCTTGAGTTCCAATCAGCCTTACAATAAAATTTAACTCAATTACTAAATGTATGATTCAGCATTCTCTTCATTATCATTTAAAATATATTTAGTTAATTTAGAAGGTTGCATAGATCCAAAAAGTTATACAACACCAATTAAACATCAACATTTGTCTGATTTTAATTTTACAGCTGTATAATGTTTGAAAAAATACAATTATACAAGATATAGTATAAACTAGACTTGGGAGTAAATCACAAAATATTACACAGAAGGATGGGATTTGACCCACAGGATCTGCACCAACTCTTGTAAGAAGTTAGTTTCACTCCTTTGCTCGCTCTTCACTTTTCAGCAAATTGTCTGCTTCAGGATTTTTTCCCGCTTCAGGATTTTTTCCCACTTCAGTTTGAAAATGACTGTTAAATCCTGGAATTAATGCTGCTATTTATTAATGGAAGTACTGCAAAAATTGTTACTTGTGAAAGATAGCTCAATGAAGTAAAACAAGTGAAGGATTCAGTAATGTGAATTTGCAAAACAATGTGATTTATATCCTGAGAGTAGATGGAATTTGATTTTAACATTGTGTGATATATAGCATCTGTGACATAGTACTGAAGAGATGGTGCAATCAGTGGCAGTCGCCTTCAGTTTCTAGAGTGGGCTTGGACCCAATGGCTTTGACTCACAGAGGTGGGAGTATTGACAATGAACCATGTTTAACAAAGAGAGTTAATTTGTTTTAAAGATTAAGTATCTTTTAAGTTAACACAGCAGACAATTTTCACAGTGGATGCCACAAATAACATTGAGATAAACGATCCTCTGTGCTACCCTATCCCTAACTTTCCTTCTCAATTCAAAATTCTTAAATATGATGTTGTTGCCTAAATCTGTGCCCATCTCAACACCAACAAAATGTTTAAACCTCTCCAATTTAGTTCCTGATGTTTTCCCAGCGCTGAAACGGCTCTAATCAAATTCACCAATTATATCCTTAGTGATTGATGCACAATATCACTTCATTTATCTGCAGCCTTTGACACACTCAACCACACCATTTCGCGTTCATTTTCTCTCCAGCTTTGGGCAGCAATGTAAGAATACCGTCATCTGGTTCTATTTTACTTGTTCAGTTCGAGTCAGGAAATCTCATCTGGTGCACAGGCGTATGGGCAGATCTGAGGATCTGGACTTGGCTGGCTGTCAGGCAACAAATTTATTTCCTCTCCCCGAAAAGTTACTGCCTGAGGTTCAGTGGGTCTAAAAAAAGGTCTGCCTTTCTCCAAATCTGGCCTTTTGTGCATTCTTACTTCATATGCCCCCTCCCCCGCCGCACTGACAAGCTGTTCGTTCAGCTGCCTCGTCTCTATTCTCTGCAATTCCCTCCACAAACAACAATAACTCTCCACTTGTCCAAGAAGCTGCTTAAAGATTACCTATCATCAACTGTTTCATTACAAGTATGAATGTTTTCCCAAAAAAGAATATGATACATTTAGTAAATCAGGCAACATTTATCGAGTGTGTATTTCAAGCCAATAGCCTTTCAGCAGAATGTTTTCCTCTGTAGCTTATCAATTTCTGCTAGGTGAGGTTCCTGTGAAGTGTCGTTTATCATGTTAAAGATGCAATATAAATGTAAGTTATGTTTTTTTTTCAGGTACTGGATCCCCAATATGGTATGTACGTATGGCCATGTGCTGTGGTACTAGCACAATATGTGTGGTTTTCCAGAAACACAGTAAGAGGGAGAACCATTTTAGAGGTAAATGGAACTAACTTGATTTTGAATTACTACACAGGTAGAAAATAGGTGATAAAGTAGAATACCAGTTAGATAATTTCGTGTAATCTTCCTCAGGATGCTGCCTTTTACCACAGCCTGATATATGTCTGGAACATGGTCGACTCAAGCCGGGTCGTCAAACCATCAGGAACGAAAAACAAAGTTGCTGGAAAAGCTCAGCAGGTCTGGCAGCATCTGTGGAGGAGAAAACAGAGTTAACGTTTCGGGTCCGGTGACCCTTCTTCAGCAGGAGTTGCGGCTGTCGCCAGAGAGCCGCTGCTCAGGAATCTGCTTTTCCCCCATCACTGGTTAGAGTGGCTGGTGGAGGGAAGGGCCTTGGACGTAGTGTCCATCAATGCCCTCTGACTTTAGAAATAGGTGAACATTGCGTGGGATACAGTGCTTTATTTACCCCCTCTGTTTTGAGTTTGCAGCTCCCCCCCCCCCCCCCCAACACCCCAGCCTTCAGTTTTATGGTTTGTATTGCCGTTAATGGGCTTTGCTTGTAAATATTCGCTTGGCTACCGAATGTTTTACTGGTGTTGATCTGTAGGTTAAAAACAAACAAAAAAAAAATCCATCAGGTTAATTTTGATGATGGGAAGATTGTTCGATTATGTGTGATAAACCTTCTGGGTAAGAATGGAAAAAAAAGATAATTCCCTGACATTTTTGCTCCGTAAGAGGATTGGGTTTGAAGGAAAATGCCCCCTGCTGGCCAAGACTGACCCTTATAAGGAGACAACAAGGTGCAGGGCTGGATGAACACAGCAGGCCAAGCAGC